TCTGTTTGGAAAAGAGTAAAACTCTTAATTATGTTGTGCTATGATAGATTCTAAAGTTCTAAAGTTTAACAGATATTTTCACAGTACGTCTGAGACTATCTGGTTAAAAGGCTAATGTTATTTGAAATGCAAGATCACTCAGTGCAGAAAAATGTTCAGTTGACAAAGTTCGCCATTTTGTAAATAAATAAAAATAGTTATACATAAATACAAATATGTACAAACATAAATGTATTATACATTTAAAACTGAGTTTCACTAATAAAATGTAGTTACCTATAATAAATATAAAAGCTGAATATATGACCGTGCTAAAGTTTTCCATATTTTTGGGGATTCTGTTTCCTTGTTAACAAAATTAAGAATTTAATTTGAAGATGGTCCTAAATTCAGAGGTTACATAATTATGTAATTCTAAAAGTTAAGTCATTTAAAAATGGTTGGAACCTCTAAGATCTGTTAAGAGAAAATGGTTCTTTTTGAAGTTTTCTTTGCCATTCACTCAACATATACACATCAACCCTGCGCCTGACCGAAGTTTCCACTCATCCGCTGCTGGAAAGGCATCTCTGCCGGCCTCCATGCTTTCTGCGTGGAGGCTGAACCTTTTTATTTCCTACCCACTCTGAGTAGGATGTGGCAACTATGTAATAAGAGTAAGGAATGGAGGAGTCCCCACAATGAGCAGAAATGAATTAAAGAGTTATAAAAATACCAAAACAGGACCAGAAGCGGGGAAGAGGGGGGTTTAGTAATAAAATAAACGTGCCGGGAACTGTGGGGGGGGGTCATCTACAGATGCACAAGCAGCAGAACTAGCTAGCTTTTTTTATCACCTTCCTTTACTGAAAAGCTGAAATAGGTATTATAAATATGAATTCCCAAGACAAATAAGCAAATGTAGGAAAATAATAAAAATTTGAAATACTAAGAAAAGAATAATAGTTTTAATACAATTAAACATGGCTTAAAGGTCAATGACTACATAAAAAATACGCAACTCAGAAGTTGCCTATCAGCAAACAAAAGTATTTTAAAAAGTATAAAAAGAAAATAACAAAATTCCATTTTCTCTTCTAAGTTTTATATGTGTGCAAACATATACAATGTATATGTATATAGACATACATACTGAGATAGTAATATTTTCAAAATGTAGGCTTCAAATGTTTCAAGTGATTGGAAAATTGATAACAACAAGAAATATACTCTTATTTTGGAGGCTTGAATGATTTTCGCAAATACATTTTAGTATCTCGCACTGTTACAGCCCATGTTTACGTGTATAGAGTGCCATATCTAATAGCATACAGCAAGTATCTTCAAGGCCTTCATTGCATATCCATTTTGTACTACAAAAAAAGAGTTCTACAGATGCTGTCTTCCTACTGTAGATTTTCTGGAAGGTGTTTTAAGTACTTGCAGCTGTCATGATGGTTGCTCATACACTGAGTTTAATTCTATTGTTCAGAATTCTAGAAAAACAGATCTTAAAAATAACCTGTGTGGTCCACAGATGAGATGAAGAAAATACAAGCAGATGGTACACATCTGTTAATTACAAATATTTCTTCATTAGTGTCATCAGATTTGTGTTATGTTTTTGTGAAAGACTCTGACAGGGATTATATTTAATCTATATTTTAAACAATCAAAACTTTGGCCATTTTTTATACATGTGGATCAAGATGACATGTAACACATGTGAACATTTTTTACTGTGGTCAGGATGGCACCTTTCATTAATGTTGGTCACATTCAAATTCTTCTAACGAAGTGTAAGTGCACACTGCCTAGTCACCTACCTTCCAGCTATGAGAACACAGCACAGTACAGTAGAATTAATCAGCGGTAGAGAAAAAGCAAAGAAACAAGGTTGTACTATCCCCAACTATGCCATTTACCTTTGTGATCCAGGACAATCCTGAACCTCACACTCCTCATCTACAAAACAGATATAACACCATGGGAACACCCATGAAACTCTCTGTCAAATGCCTATGGTGGGGCTCAAAGGATTGCAACACAACTAACAAAAATGACTGTAAATGACTACACTCAAAAACACTGATGTCCCCCAAATAAAAGATGTGCTATTAATTTCTAAATCTTGGCTTACTCTGTGGGAGATTCAAACCATAGAAAAACCTATAAATATTTTTTCCTTCAATTTTGTGCCTGGATCTCAGAATTACTTTGAGCACCCAAGTGAGTTTACATGAAGAAAGGCATTTATGAAACTGTTACAGCATTAGAATATTATATTCCTAGATTATAGAGACCTGGTTTGCGTCCCCCCCGCAACCTCTAAGCAACGGCCTGAGGCAATGGGCCGGGGTCGGGGGCAAGAGGGCGGAATAGCTCTGCAAAACAGCACCTGCTGGAAATCCTCGTCACTGCAGGCAACCACCTGGCACGCGTAGAGACAGACGAAAACCATCCTTGCAAGTGAAGGGCACTGGTCTAATTTCATAAGCTATTAATAAAATAAACACCTCCCCACACAATGCCTACCCAAGTGGATGAAATAAATTATTTAACAGTAAAATTATTCTAACATCACAAGGATTCACAACTAAACAGCATTTTGAGTCCAGGACAAACTAAGTTTTACTTAAAAATTCAAAGTCATGAGAATTCTGTGTCATCCCCTCCTCCACACTGCAGTGTGGAGAGCTGCAGGGCAATGAGCAGTCACTGGTGACAAGAAGGGCAAGAAAAGACTGGACAAGAGAAAAGAAAAGCATTAGTGGATTGACTGTGAAAACAATGGCCAACACCAGAATTCGAATCTAATAGAAAGAAAAAAAAAGCAGACCTAATACATGGGAAATTCAACATGATAGTCGTACAAGGCTACACAATACAGGGATCAGTTATACTTTATGTGTGCCTTTTTTCTTTCCTGATTTGAAACACGTGTTGCATTTTGCGTCACAGACTAGTGATTTCCAACCCTTCCAAATCAGCTGGGAAGCCTTTAATAAAACATTGAATGCTGGGCCCCACCCCAGACCAGTTAAATCAGAATCTGGGACTAGGCTAGACATGTAAAACAAAACAAAACAAAAACCACCTCCCAGTGATTCTGCAGTAGAGTCAGGGATGAGAACTCTGCATTTGACCCCTTTTTGCAAAATAATAACTAGCTTTCTCCATACAACAGGACAAATTCTCTTTTAAAAAAAAGTTCCCCACTATAATGGAAAGTAGTTAAAGATTCCCAACCCCAAATAAGTGCTCAAGTTTAAGCAGGAATATACCAAGTCCAGGACATTTGCAAAAAAAAAGAGCAAATGCTATCCTCAACGCACCTGTAAATTCTTGGGAATATCTAAGATATTCTAAGATATCTAAGTCTAAGAGAGGTTAGATTTTATATTGTATTTTCTAAAGTAATATTCTCAAAAATATTAGAAGCAAAAAATATTTTCCCTGAATAATTAAGATTTCTGAGATAAAGATGAAAAGAACAAATAATTTCACTTTTATTAGGTGCTTAATGCCTTGTAGAAAATGTCCATAGAAGATGTCTGTCTCATCATTAATTACCACAGACAGCCAATCTTGGTCGAGTTTAATACCAAACAACCACTAGCTGAGAAAACAATTCTGAATCCTAACATCAAGAATTTAAAACAACTGGGAAGTGGGATGAAAAGAATAAATGTTAAATACCGAAGACAGTTTTCACATGATGCAAAAAGCTCTTAAAGTAGCAATTACAAAACTCAGAGACAAGAAAAAAAGTAAAGATGAATTTGGAACATACAATTTCAGTCGTTCCCTGGCTGGGGAAGTCTCTAACAGGGATAGTCAGATATGAAACTAGAGCAGCAGAGGACTCAACCCTTTTCAAGAAGCCTCCTCTCCAGAACGTTTTCCCCAGCTAACAATCCATTGTCGAGTGACCTTGGGATAGTACCTTTGCACGTCTCCCATTTTCCCCAGAAACAGGAATAAAAAGACCATTGATTTACATCGCGATGATTAACAGGGATGAGGGATTTCAAAACTGCAGTGGCACACAAAAGTAACACGTCGCAATCATGATCATCCTGCAGGAGAGGCGTGATGGAGGTGGAAAGGCCACAGGTGCAGAGGAAAAGCCAACGTGCGTGAAGAGGTGGAAGCCCACGTGGAATGTGGAACTCAACAGTCTACACGGGAGGGCTGAAATATGAAGGTCAGTTCAGCTCAGTAGCAAACTAAAAATAAGTAATATATTTTTTTTAAAAAAGCCCACACAAAACAAAACAAGGAAAGAAATGGAAAAAAAATCAACACCAGTCAAGATGAAGAATGAGCAGCCTGCAGATTAAGGCTTAGAAGAAAGAAACAAAAATGAAGTGAAAGAATACTAAGGAGAAAAAAAAACCCAAATCTAGAGCCTAAAGAAGTGGGTGGCATTCTGGTCAGAGGGGACAGGTAATTTAATCCCACTCACTCTGTCAGCATTCCTGAGACCATGGATCTATCCATGAAATGTTCTGCCATGCAAAATACACATGGTGGAATATCAAAGATTTTAAAATAAGTCACAGAATCTACAATTACACTAAAAAAATTATACGTTAAATACTCAAAAGTAAAAGACTATTAATTTCAAAGTTTAGGCTTATTGTTTGGAAATTCAAATCACAAAATGTCTATACACTGTGTGTGTGTGTCTGTGATTCTTCAGACTTCTCACCAGAAGAGCAGGGGAAGAGTATTACATTTTGTATTTAATATTTTAATATACTGCTCTAAAAGTAATTTGACAACCAGATCTCCCAAGCAAGATAGCTAAGCAAAAGAGGAAAAAAAAAATTTTTAAAGGTGCGTGAAGAAAATAATTAGCTTATAAAGAATGCTTAGTAATCCGGCCACTTATTAATAAAAGGGAAAGTCTCACAATAGGGACCTGAGGCTGACTGCGTTTCTCCGGGTTCCTCCCCCAGGGTGAATGCATTCCTTCCCCTGGACTCCCGCGTGGGTGGTGAAGTACGTTTCCATACCTGTAACCAGAGCCTGTCTCCTGCCACGGTCCTGCCGATGGCACTGCACTGGAAAGTGGCAAACTGGCCGGCATTGACTTCCACGTTCTGAATCCGCAGGAAGTGGGGGGTTCTGGCTACATGAGGAAAAAGAACGAAAGATATGAAAAAGGGAGATCTATAATGAATATGTGTCATTTTCAATCTATCCTCAGTTTGGGGCCTTTTCATTTTGTTTACCTTGGGAGAAAATAATGCTTTTGCTTATATGAGCTTTAAAGATTTCACTAGAATTGTAAAAGACACCATGAAAGGTTTGGGTTTGCTTTGTAAAAGAATAAAATAAAGCCAAGCATTCTGGGATAGAATCAAACAGAAAGAAGATATTTTATTGTTCCTGCTGTGCAAATTATCATAGCTCAGCAGTCTGCTTGTAATAACAGATCTGTATTAATGAAGATTATACTGAAGCCTAATTGATGTTTTGAACAAAAACATATTAGATATTTATACCAGCAACATGAAAAGAACAGTAAGAAGTTAAATGATGTTGTCAAGGAAACTTTTTAACCAAAGTACAGAGCTGTGCATAATATATATTTTAACACAACTAATTGGTATGCAAAATTATTTATGTAATATTTTTCAGCTACCAAAAATACTATCCCTATAGACACACTCTGAAATGATGCTATAACTGCAACAGCATGGCAATTTTTGCTGATTCTTATTTCCAATTCAAGAAAAAGGATTTCAAATTCTAAATAGCACTGTCTCATAATGTGCATTGTCCATATGGGACAGCTGTTTAAATAAGGGATTATTCTATCTGATCTGAGAAGTGCAGACCAATTTCTGTATCACACTGAAAACAGGTGTCCAGGAACTGAAATGATAGGTCAGGACTTAAATTTTATGACAACTTCTACTTTTAGGAAAACATTCTCTTATCACAACAATGATAGAGTGAAAGAGTTGCAAAGCAGGGGGAAGGGGAGTGGGCAGTAGAAGAGGATGAGAATAAGATGATATCACTTTCTGGGAGGGACACATAAATCTGGATAATAACTAGAATCCATTTGTTATGCCTTGCCAGCTTCTCCTCATTGCCAGTGTGTCTTTAGGCCATGTCTAGACACTTAGAAAAAATGGTGCCCCACTGCTGGGTGCCCAAGATTACAAAGCAGTGCTCACATTGGCCTGAGCAGAACATAATTAGGAATGAAAGTAGGTTACTGCCAAATAACAAAGAAAAACGCATTTCAATATCAATAACACACAGGAAAACCCCATTGCTAATTTGGAGGCTGCTAATAATTCAGACAATGTATTCATGATGCTCAGCATACAAAATGTTCTCAATGACTTCCAACAAAGCAGCATAACTAGGGACCATTGTTTCTTAATACTAATATATTAGTGTACAACTCTATGAACCCTATTTTTCACTGATTTAATTGAATTACCCCTTGGCTCAAGAGTAACACAATTCTTTGGTTTTTAAAGATTGCCGTAAAAAGTCCCTAAATCGAATTTCTCTTCTACTCTTGGTTCCTGAAAAACTAAAAGACCCATTGTTTTTAGAAAATGGAAAAAGGTAGCATTTATTGAGTAATTAAGTGCCAGAAACTTTTCCACTGAGTACTCATAAATGTTCTGTGACAGAGACAGTTACTCCATTTCTCTGATGGGGGGAACCTGTGGGTACCTGACTACTGAGTATCAGAAGCAGGCCGTAAATTCGGGACTATCCAGTTCCAAAGCCCAGGTTCGGTCCAGGAACCACAAGGCCTCTCCCCGACTTCCCACTGCCTCTGCCTTTCCTCACGCTCTTCATCCCACTCAGAGGGCTCCCCTGTTTGCCTGTTGGAATTTTAGCTTCTTTCAAAGTCTTTCTGAATGCTGTTCCCTCAAAGAAGCTTCGTGGATTATCTCATCTTGCTGCTAGACCTTCTAATATCACAATAGCAACGGCACTTGATATTAATGCCTTACACATAGCAAACACTCAGTATCATCATTAAATGTAATTCCTATTATTTAAAATTATTAAAACCACACATACATCCTTAAAAACTCTTTACTTGAGATTTCAAATTCTGTAGAATTCTACTCTGCCACCTTACTTCTCACACAAATGAAACTTTTACCATACAAAAACTTCATAATCATTCTGATTTTAGGTCTACCTATACCAGATGTCCCCAACATGAACAGACATCATTAAGAACCCCGAGAGTCAAATAAATGAATAAGAATACATCAGAAGCTGAAAAGCTGTTTTTCTTGCCAATCCCTATCAAAATACCAATGACATTCTTCACAGAAATACAAAAAAATTCCTAATATTTGTATAGAACCACAAAAGACCCTGAATAGCTAAAGCACTCCTGAGCAACAGGAACAAAGCTAGAAGCATCATACTACCTGACATCAAAACTTACTACAAAGCTATAATAAACAAATCATCATGGCACTGGCATAAAAACAGACATGAAGACCAATGCAACAGAATGGAGAACCCAGATATAAAGCCACACGTTTACAGCCAACTCATTTTTGACAAAGGGGGCAAAAACATACAAAGGGGAAAGGACTGTCTCTTCAATAAGTGGTGCTGAGAAAACTGGACAGCCATGTGCAAAAGAATGAAACCAGACCCCTAAATGGATCAAAGATTTAAATCGAAGACCTGAAACTATAAAAGTACTAGAAGAAAGCACTGGGGAAATGTGCAGTCCCCAATCCCTGGGCCACAGCCAAGTAGCCGGCCGTGGCCTATTAGGAACCTCCGGCCAGCCGTGCATCACTGCCTTACCGTCTGTGGAAAAACTGTCAGGCTGCACAGCAGGTGAGCGATGGGCTAGCAAGGGAACCTTCGTCTGTATTTATAGCCATTCCCCATCGTTCACATCACTGCCTGAACTCTGGCTCCTTTCAGATCAGTGGCATCATTAGAGTCTGCACTGTGGTGAGCTGTATAATTACTTCATTATATATTACAATGTAATAATAATAGAAATAAATTGTACAACAAATGCAATGTGCTTGAATCATCCCAAAACCATACCCCCTCCACCCCTGGTCCATCAAAAAATTATCTTCCATGAAACCAGTCCCTGGTGCCAAAAAGATTGGGGACCACTGTTCTATAGCACTACAGGGTGACTATAGTTAGAAGAAATTTATTGTATATTTTTAAATAGCTAGAAGAGAGGCTTGGGAATGTTCCCAGCACAAAGCAATGATAAATATTTGAGGTGACGAATATGCTAATTACCGTGATTTGATCATTACACATTGTATATATGTATGAAAAATAACTGTATACCATAAATATGTACAATTATTACATGTCGATTAAAAATAAAATCATTTTTTTTGTTTTTAAAGAAAGGGACTCCAGAGAACTCTCTCATCCTCTGTCTGCCATGTGAGGACACAGCAAGAAAGACAGCAGTTTGTAACCCAGAAGAGGGCCCTTGCCATAACACGACCACGACGGCACCCTGATCTCAGACTTCCACCTTCAAAAACTGTAAGAAATAAATTCCTGCTGCTTATTTAAAAAATATTAAATATTAACTTCTGTAGTCTTTCTTAGGAAACTTAGAAAATGCATGCACTCCGCCATATCAGCAAACTTAATAAAATATTTGAATATCAGGATTGTCATTGGTTCTGCTAAATGTCTGTTTATCCTTAGCAAGCCTGGCTATGGAAGATTGCTTTCCTAAGGGCCATACTTTGAGCATGGTAATACTCATTTAACAATGCAATCTGCTAATACAGTCGGCCCTCCGGATGTGTGGATTCCACATCTGTGGCTTCAACCAACCAAGGATCAAAACTATTTGGGGGGAAAAAAACATATAAATTAACAATAATAAAAATAATACAAAAATACATTTAACAACTATTTACACAGCATTTACATTGTATTAGATATTATAAGTAATCTAGAGGTGGTTTAAGGTAGCGGTCCCCAACCTTTTTGGCACCAGGGAATAGTTTCATGGAAGCTAATTTTTCCAAGGACCAGTGGGTGGGAAGGATGGTTTGGGGATGATTCAAGCACATTACATTTATTGTGCAGTCAAATCTCTCTGCTAATGACAACCTGTATTTGCAGCCGCTCCCCAGTGCTAGCATCACCGCCTCAGCTCCACCTCAGCCCATCAGGCATTAGATTCTCACAAGGAGCCTCAACCTAGATCCCTCGCATGTGCAGTTTACGTCAGGGTTCGCACTCCCAGGAGAATCTAACACAGCTGATCTGACAGGAGCTTATTTGGGGAAGTGAACCATGGGGAGCGGCTGTGAGTACAGCTGAAGCTTCGCTGGCTCGCTCGCCTGCCGCTCACCTCCTGCTGCGTGGCCCGGTTCCTAACAGGCACAGATCAAAACTGGTCTGTGGCCTGGGTTTGGGGACCACAGGTTTAAGGTATACGGGAGGATGTTCACCATTTTACATAAGGGACTTGAGCATCGGCAGATTTTAGTATGGGAGGAGGTGTCCTGGAACCGATCCCCCTCGGACACCTAGGAATGGCTATACTAACTGTCCCCAGGGGGTTGTCTGTTAGAATATAACTGACACTTTTAATTAGGGGGTCAAAGATACAACTGTGTGATATTCAGCCTTTGTTTACCCATCCTTAATAAAGACACGTTGCACAGAATGACAGTTATCGCTTCTCCTTCACAATTATTTTGATCCTCAATGCGGCTTTCTCAAAGACTGTACGTATTACTTCCATGGTGAGGTTATGGGTCTAAGGAATTTATGCCTCTGTTCAAATTATATTTTGGGAGGGGCCCTCCCCTGGAACCAATTGATTGCCTTTGGCTTAGGAAATAATGTTGTTTGGTTAAGAAAAAGACTACCAGAAAAATATCATCTGGCTAAGATAATAAAGCCACACCTCAAATGGAAACCAGATGAAGACATATGATGCTATTAAGCGTTAACATTTTCATAAGCAAATGATCCTTTTCAAATGAAAGACAACCTTAATGGAAGATAGTGACTCATCCACTAGGGTGAATAAGACAAAGGGACTGTGGAATCCCATCTCCCATATCATATTTCTCCAAGAAAATGAAAGTCAAACTTTCTGCTAATAATGTAAGTTTT